TTTCTTTTTTGGTCATTCAGTAAAAGTTTTATAGTTTCATCTATAAAGCTTCTTTACTTTTTGTTGCTACTCTATATGGAATCAGTCTATTACAATTTCTGATTGATGGTAGATAAGAAAGTAATTGATTTTCTTCTTTCTTTGGTTAATACAATGAGTTATATAGACAGATCTCTATTATTGAATTAATCTTGCATTCCTGAGATAAACTTCACATGATCATGATTAATTATTCTTCTTATTCACTGCGGAATTAAAATTTCTAGTATTTTACTTGGGATTTTTTACATCCATCTTTATAGATAAAAGTGCTATATTTTTTTCCTTTTGTTTTGGTATTAAGGTTAATTTAACTATATAATATAAATTGGTTAATTTTCTATCTTTTATATGATTTGATACAACTTATAAAAGATGAATATTACCTCTTTCTTGAAAGTTTAGAGAACTTGCCTATACAACCGCCTAGACCCAGTGCCTTTTGGGGGGATAGATCTTTGACTACAATGTCCATTCAGATTTTCTACATCTTCTTAGAGCATTTTGAAATTTTATATTTTCCTATAAAATTGTCCGTATCTTTTTCAATTCTACTGATATAAAGTTGTTTGTATTATTCTTTTATAATTTAAAGAACTGATCAAGTGTTAAGAGTTTATGTCCTTTTTTATTTCTGATAACTTTTTTTGTGCCTTCTCCTGTTCTTAATCATATTTGCTAAAGCAATCTATTTTTATTAGGCTTCTTAAAAGTTTTGACTAACTCTTTTTTTTTTCTCTTTCTCTAATTTCTCTTTTTATCCATGGCAGTGTTTTTTAACCTTTTTTTATTATCTCCCCTTTAGGTGCTTTTTTCTTTTTTTTTCCCAGCTAATCACTACCCCTCTCCCCACCACCCCTTCCAAAATCTTAAACCACACATATAAGTGTCTATCTGTTTATGTAGTATAAACAGGCCCTTTTGGAGGGCCATGGCCATTGTGATATCTAACATTTAAAAAAAATCATTAAGAACCAATTTTTACCCCCTTGGCAAGATCTTCCCTAAGAAAATGCATGGCCTGTGGTAATACTTCTTCCTGCTTTCTTTCATTTTCCTTTTCTTCTGGAGTTGAAAACTTAGTTCATTCACTTCCATTTTTAAAAAAATAAAAATTTTAAGGCTATAAACTCCACTTCCTTACCCAGTCCCATTTGCTTGCATCACAAAAGTTTTGTTATGTAGTGCTTTTGGTTTTCATTCAGTTCTAAATTTTTGTCATTGTCCCTTTAATTTGATGATGTAGAGATTTGCTTTTACATTACCCAATGCGTGGATTTTGGGTTCTGTTTTTGTTGTATTTTTGTGTAACTTCCTGCCTGGAGTTTGTTGAGACTGTTATTAGTTTGCTAAAGTGTTTTTAAATTAAATCACAAATTGGTGCTGAGTTTTAACAAATACAGATGGTCCCCAACTTACAGTGGTTCTACTTATGATTTTATGTTGGTACAAAAGTGACACACACTAAATAGCAACTGTACTTTGAATTTTGATCTTTTTCAGGACTAGCGATATGCAGTACAATACTTTCTCGTGATGCTGGGCAGTGGCAATGAGCCACAGCTCCCTGTCAGCCACTTGATCATGAGGGTAAACAACCAATACTCTACATAGACTGTGTTGCCAGCATTTTTTGGGTATTGTTTTATGTTTTTATATCCATGCCTATAAAATGACCATCTGTGTCTCCTGCTTTTGGTGAGAAAAAGGAGAGGAAGACAATTACTCTTGAAATGAAACAGCATAATTACCCAGCATGAAGATGGCAAGCCCTAAATACATAAATTATATCAGATATTCAACACTTTATTATAAAATAGGCTTTGTGTTAGATGATTTTGCCCAACTGTAGGCTAATTTAACTGTTCCTAGAAAATTTAAGTTAGGCTGGGCTAAGCTATGATGTTTGGTAGTTTGGGTGTATTAATGCATTTTCGACTGACAATATTTTCAAGTTATAATGGGTTTATTGGGATGTAACCCCATCGTAAGTAGAGGAGCATCTGTACATATTTTGGAACCAGTTGAGTTGACCATGCTTTCTTCCTAATTTCTATTAATTTGATTAATTACTCTGATATATTTTACATGTCTCATCTACCTGTGCTTTCCCGTAGCGACCTAACTGTACATTCTCCAAGCCATATTGATATTCCCATTTACAATGGTTATATCACTGAGACTAAGCTAAAATGTTGCAAGTGCATCTACATTTTCTGTAACCTTCTAGTTTACCTAGCTCAACGATAAAGGGATGATTTTCCGCTGTGTTCTATGCAGATTCAGGTAGGTACCTCTCTATATTTCCTTGGATCTGAGGTCCCTGGTGAAGGTGGGCATTTGTTTTCTATATGAGAGTTTGCTCCCATTCTCCTGTTATATCTCTTTGGGTTTCAATCACCTCCTCTAACTTTGTAATGACTAAACCACCACTCTCTATTATAAGCTCATCTTTAGGATTGGTTGGCTCCTGGTCTTTCTTATTTTCCCATTTGTATTATCAATTCTGTCATTTAAGAACACAACCGTTCTTCTAAAGAAATCCTTCTCTTTCTTCAGCTTAATCAGCCTGTCTTCCTTTATTCATTTTTCACCTTCCCACTGCTTCCATTTTGACTTCAAAATCTAAATGTATATTTGGAACAAATATGGCTGCTACTTGATTTCCTGAATAGACCTGATTTGTAGGGAAAGAAGAATCCAGACACAACCCTTTTAAATACTCTTCTTAGCTTTGGGGATTTTAATAGTGTTGCTTCTCTCTACCTCAAACTCCAATATAACAAATATTTGCATCCCTCATTTTCTAGTTAGGATTAAAATCCACCACTCCTCGGAAATTAAACACACAGCCCGAGTCCCTAAAATTCCACTGGGAGTCTTATATAGTCAACACATCTGGCACCAATTTGGCATATACACTGAGTGGCCAGATTATTATGACCACCCCATCAGTGCTTCATTGACACTTCCAAAAATACTGAATATTGAAAACTTCCTAAGCAAATACTCTCAAGGTTTTTATTATTATTATTATTTGCATAACTAATTCACTTCATTATACTGATGGGGTGGTCATAATAATCTGGCCAGTGTAAATAGAAGGTGACTCTGATAACCCATGTGAATTAAGGAATTTAGCCCCTTAATTGGAGACCTCCCATAGGTCTCTCATTGGCCTTATAAAAGGAAGCAATTCAAATGAAGACAAAAGGGAACCAATTGGGTATGACTGATCTAATGCCACCTGCTCATCCCCAGCACAGTAGAAGGGCTAGAGTCTCACAAACTTGCGAAGTACACGTGAAACTTGTGCCATTGCACCTTAAAAGTCCTTGTCTATAATTATGCCTGAGAATAAAGGCAGCACAAATTTTTCCATTCAGTAGCATCTTTCCCTTCTGTAGCAAACCTGTCTCAACTAAATCATACGAACCAAGATCAGCCAGAGTAGCCTATGTAGCCTACTTTTGCAAAGTCCTATGTCCAGTACCTCTACAAATAGTGACTTGTCTGTGTACACTAGCTACTGTAAGCTGCTATAACTTGGAAAGGCCAAAGAACTAAAAGGCTCAAGATCACTAAAGCTGGGACATCTAGTATATCCCATCCTCATCCATCTCATCTTGGTCTGCTAATTCCAGCCAGAGTGCCTATTTCCTCAGGAATTAACAGCCAATGCATATTTGCATGTGTTGGGGCTTACGAGAGAAAGTTAATCATATTCCATCCCCCTCTAGGTTCTCAACCAACTGAATAATAAATAGAGGAATCAGACAAACAAGTATTAACATATCAGTATTTTGTGGATGAATCTGTATCTATAAACAAAATTGGGCTTTCTAATACCATCCCACCAATGCCTCTCCCACCCTTCCCCATTCCTGGTATTGGGATTACCTACCCCAAAGAGAATAAACAAAGGAAACACTTACCTGGAGAGCTGCAAAGGGGTGTGGCTGCTCCAAAAGTGGAGACAGAGAGAGGTGCTCTTCACACCTCCCTCTGGAAGGTAGGCCTGGGCCTCAGCAGGTGCATATAAAAGCTGGATCTGAGTGGAATGCATACACATTACAGGCAAAAGGGTGCAAAAGAGAGAAGAGAGCCAAGTGTGTGTGTGTGTGTGTGTGTGTGTGTACAATGACTCTCTTTCCTATGTCTCCACCAGAGAACACAATATTCCTTTGGGAGAAGTGAATAAGAGGCAGAGACAGAGGCCATGAGTGATATTCCAATATGGTTCCCTACTTGGAGAAAAAAGGGGAAATGGGGGCAAATGACAGATTCTTGTCTCCATGGGTGGGAGAAGGCCTGTCCCTTTCACCCCCTCCCAACAATGATAGGGGATCCAATTCTTTCACACCCTCGGTATGACCTGGAATTCATTCCCAGTTCCCAACCCAGATATCAGGAAGAGTGTTATTAATACATTCTGCTACTAGGTCATGCCTACATTAGAACTCAGGATGGCAGGGGTAGAATAAGGGCCCAGAGGTTCAGGCTGACCCCAACCAATCCCCAGATACATTCACTCGCTAAACTCCATCTGATTAACAAAAAGAAGCAATAGAAACACCACTAAAACTAGGAAACCCATTCCAGGTCATTTCACTAATAACTGCTCCTCAAGAACTGTTTGGCCACTGGAGTGAAAAGGGTTACAGCAATACCCCAAACTAAGAAAGACCAGCCTATGAATCTTGCCTCCATTGTGTGGCTACTGTAGTGTTCTGGGTATTTTCTTCTCCAGCACTGCAAGTCCTAGGAGGAGTCTCTGAAAGACATGCCACATTTAGACGAGATTGGGTGCGTCCAGGATGATATGACCAAAGACAGACATGCCGCGTTTAGATTGTGAGAAGCCATCCCCAGACAAAAGCCCCCAAGAAAGAAACCCCCAAAAAAGGACACTACTTGGGAGCTTGAGAATGAAAAGTTATTTATCAAAGGGTAGTTGGAAAAGCCAAACTTTTTGAGCCAGATTCCAGAACAGTCAGCGGGAGTCTCTCCTGTTAGCTTCATCGGTCCACCTACCCAACAGCAGATCTTCTACTGAAAGGGAACATCATAGTCCTCAAGGGGGCCTGGAGTGCCCTTCCTATCCAGTTCCAGCTGAGGAGACAAACAGAGCAAAGCGAGGACTCTTCCCACCACCAAAACCCACCTCCGCAATTGGGAGCCTCCTTTTCCCATTCGTAACCCAAGGAGAGAGCCACCTTCCCTGCTTAGTCCACATCAGGAAACAATAAACATCTTCAGAGTCACAGGCCACAGCCTTTGGGTCCTGCTTAAGGACTTTTCCCTCGTTTAGTACAGGAGCACTTAGTAGAGTCCCCATGTCAGGTTCATATCACTCACTCTCTCAAGGGCGCGGGAACACCCAGAACCAGAAAGAGAATAGAATTGGCATTGAAAATTAACCTGCCAAGTCAACAGACAAAATATCTCCCAAGATGCCAGAGTCATTCCCACTTTAAGTCCACAGGATGTGGAAGGAGGAAATGAACTCAACCTGCTAAGAAAAGGGCTTTCAGGTTAAACACAACAAGCAAAGGATTCAGCAGGGACCAAACATTTGAAGGAACACAGAAGTGATAGAGAATAGGGAGGGTGGGGATCTGGTGGCAGGAAGGGAGAGAGGGGTCCTTGGACTGAGGGCCCAGAGAGAAAGCAGGTAGGATAACCAAGCGTGAGGGAATCACTTAGAAAGCAGGTACCTAACGTCTAGCCATGGCTTTTGCCAGCAATTTAGCACGTGACTTTGAGCTTATCTAGGTTTCAGTGTCTTCATCTGCAAAACAGCGGAAAGCAGTTTAACTAGATGCCTGTTATAGCTCTTTGAGATTATGGCATCTTCCACAAGCGTGACTGACAGACTATTACAAGACTTTCAGGAGGGGGCCGAGGAGAACCTTACCAGAGCAGGAAATGCCTTCCAGCCCCATCTCTAACGAAAGGGTCACACGTATACACATTCACACACACACACAGAAGCAAAGTGGCAGACAATTTCATCATAGCAGCAGAGATACACATAGAAAAAATAAATACTGTTGATGCTCACGTCTGCACTAGGAAAGAGGGGTCCTGAGGGTGTAACTTGGAAGGATTCCAAGGGTTGGGGGGCGGGGGGAAAGGGTCCTTTTATTTGATAATAGCTTTCACCTGGCTTTTCCTTCCCCAAATCCAGGGCAGCCAGCTCTTTGGAAGAAGCCACTCTCACCTTCCCCTCCTCAAACTACCAACTCACCTGTTGCTGAAACAAACATGTACAGATCCCAAAAGAAAGAACCCCCCTAGTTAGCCATTAAGAAATAAACGGAATCTACCACAACACCTGAGATTACTTGGAGTGGGCAGCCAGAACCACATGCCCTATTTCCCTGAATGTTGTTGTGGATCTATCTCACCCAAAGTCATTTGGGTTCACCCTCTGGGAGAAGGGGGCACTAGCCTGGACCACCCCTTGATTTCTGGTGCTTTTCTGGTCGCTTCCCCAAATTTTAAACCAATCTCACATGAGCGTGAGCCAAGAAGTTACCCTCCCCACCGAGGAATCCAAATGGGAAGAAAGGCTACCACGAAAGTGCAGGGTTCTAAACCAAGCAACAGGACCTGCAAAGCGGGCGCGCACCATTCCCCAGACACCAAGAAGCATCCCCCAGCCACACATCCACATGGACTCTAGCATGGCCTCTCCTAGCAGAGGTCGCTGGGGCAACTGGGGAGTGGAGGACTTCAACCTCCCATCAACCTGGGATCCCTGTGTAAAAGATACTAAAAATAAATTAGTAAACATTGCTGTTTACAGAAATAGAAATCATTTCTGTTTCCAAAGGCCTCTCACCATCCCAGTCCTGGACACTGCCAAGACTGCCACCCCTGATACACGCTTCAAGGTCCGCCCTGGCGGGTGGGTAAGACACCAGAGTCCTTCGAGACCGGGAGCTCCTCAGGCACCTGAGAATTCCAGTTTCACATCTCTGCTTCCAGGGAAGGGAGAATCTTCAGGACTCTGGAGAGTACTGGGGGGTTCATCCCTTCTCATCAGTTCCCAGGGGTTGCCTGGAGGCAACCCTCCCCCTTTCAGGATGATCTACGTGGTGTAGGAATTCCTGCTCTTTTCAGGCCCCCAGGCCCTCCCCAGGGTCCAGCATGCCAGTCTGGACCCACCCTCAGAGCGGAGGAACCAGTCTGTGCCTTGGTAGCACGACACCGGGGGGAAGAAGGTTGGGCAGAAAGAAGGCAGGGGTAGTATGGCTGGGGGGTCGTCCTGGCGGGGGACGACTAGCAGCAATGACTGTCAGACAGGCTGGCGGTAAGGCTGGACGCCTGGTCGGGGACGGAGCCGGAGCTGTCCACCAGGCTGGCAGGTTGCGCGTGGACGCGGGGTGTGCGACGGCGCCCCCGGTACTCGATCATGTCGGGATGATAGGCCGGGTGGCGGCGGGCGTGCTTGGTCAAGTGGTCGCTCCGGGAGAACTGCTTGGGGCAGAGCGGGCAGGAGAAGCGCTTCTCGCCCGTGTGTGTCCGGTAGTGGCGGGCAAGCTCGTCGGAGCGCGTGAACTTCTTGTCGCAGTCGAGCCAGTCGCAGGAGAAGGGGCGCTCCCCCGTGTGGGTGCGCTGGTGGGACTTCAGATGTGACGACTTGTAATAGGCTTTGTTGCAGCCCGGGAACGGGCAGCGGTGGCGCTTGGCAGCAGGTGTGACTGGCCTCCGACGGGGCCCCGGACCCGTGGCAGGGGCCGGTCCCACGCCAGGGGTCGCGCCAGAGCCCGCATCCAGGTCGGCAGGCGCTCCGGAGCCGTCAGGTGCTTCGGGGACCTCGAGCGCGCCGGAGAAGTGCTCGGGCCAGGAAACTTCGGCCGGTCGGCGGCCAGGGCCGGCTCGAGGCACAGGGGGGGCCCCGAGCACGGGGTGGGGCCGCAGAAGCCCGACGAGCGCGCAGAGCTTTCCCCGGAGCTCTCCCCGAAGCCCTCCCCGGCGCCACCGCTCAAGTCAGCCAAGACGCTGGCAGCCAGCAGGTGGGGCGCGCGCCGCACGGCGCCGGGGCTGGGGGCGGGGACGGAGGGGAAGCAGGGGGACCGACGCGGGTCCCGGTGGCCCCGCACCCGGCAGAGAGGACTCCGGCGGCGCCGCCGCACCCACCTCCGAGCCGGCGGCTTCTCCCGCGCCCTCGGGGTCCTGCGGGCGGCGGTGGACCACGGCGCCCGCGGACATGGACACCAAGCATTCGGCAGCGAAGTAGTCCAGACACGCCACGGCTGCTGACATGCTGGCACCGCCGGGCCGCCGGCGAGCGCGGTCTGTGCGCAGCCGGCTGCGAGCGAGCGAGTTCTCCGGAGCGACCGTCCCGTTTCCTCTGATTGTTAAGCAGGAGGCACGGTACACTCCGCCCGCCTTCAGGTGCCTGCCTCCGCCGCTGCAACCCGTGCAAAACAGTCCTAATATATTCACCCTTTCCATTTATTCCGTAGGTTTACTTCACTGAATTTTCTACAAAATTTATTTTCGGCCGCGAAGAATTTTCACCCTGTGTAATATTTAAACGGTCCTTATTAGTAC